GTGTATTAAGAACGAAATTAGGGGAAATATTGGAATATGAAGCCGTTCCGTGGGAAATCGCATGTAACGAACAAAGAATGTGGCTGCAAATGCGCTAAAAATAAAGATTTTCTACAACCGAAATTAGGAAAACGTCATATGTAAGTACATAACCTTTTTTGTTTTGCTTGAACGTTTTGCTTTTGTTTTTCGGCTGATTTGTCATTTTTTTTAAATAGCATGGGTTGCAAAATGGGATCTCTCTCCTCTCCCGCTCTCTTTTTAATTGAATTAATCTCATTGCGATATCCTTTTTCTCGTTCTGAACGATCTTGCACCACAAACAAGGTCGCTGGGAAACCCCAGGCTACCATAAAACAGTCAGTCTCAGTTATGGACCTTTCATTAGAATACCATGAAGGGTAGAACGTGTGTTAACCCTCCCCCCCCCCCCCATTTTCATAAGTTTGACTTGGCACCACTAAAAGTATGCCTATTCAAAATCTAACACCAATTGGTTGTCGTACGTAAAAGTTATGCACGTTTAACTTTCAACAACAGCATCTCAGGAAATAATTCATGCCCCCCCCCTCCTTTAAGACAGCGAAATATGATGGCCGTCTGGCACACCTTCAAGTTATAGGCTACCTACCGCAAAAAATTCCCGGACTCTAGGACCATTCCCCTAGAAGCAGGGCCGGACTGGCCCAGGCCGCCAGGCCGCCCGAGCGGCCGGGGCCCCGCGCTAGCGGGGACCATGGATGGGGCCCTCTATGGGTCAGTCAATTTTTGAAGCATTAATGTTTGTAAATGTTGAGCGTATTGTTAGTTTAAATTTGGAGAAGGATAAATTAATTGATAAATTTGCCAATACGTCATTGGAATTACAGCGCCTTCTCCTTTAATTTAATGTTCAATACTGTTCAGCAAGTTGTTTGAAAAACAATTAAAAAAGTCTGCAAATCCTTCGTCTTCTTTTTTTTTTGGGTGGGGGGGGGGAGGTCCATAAGTTTGGGGGCCTTTTGGACATGGAGCGCCCGGGGCCCTTACCCACCCAGTCCGGCCCTGCCTAGAAGTAGTTCAAAACGGCAGAAGTGGATCTGGACGGACGGACAAAACGCTAACAATAGCACATTTTTTTTAATTCTTTCAAAAATGCGCTAAAAATTGGATTGCGCAGTTACTAACGCTGGGTTGCGCATGCACAGATTTTTTAATTTGTTTGCGTAGTTGCTTGAGGTTTAAGGAATGTTTACTAACACAGAAAACCGGACATTCATTATGTTCTTTGTAACAAGAATGATTTAAAAAAAAACTATTTTTTGGAAGTTTGGCGATCCGACGTTTCTAAACAAAGTTATCGTGGACACGGATACACAGACAGACGCGCAGACAGACAACAGGAACATGAACAGACAATACAAAATTCTAAATTACCCCGAGGATCGTTAATAAACGGCAAAGGTGTAAAATTATGGTATATGGATTTTTTACTATAACGTTTAAGGCATTTTTAAAGAATTTTATAAGAATGTGTTTTGTCCGTCGGTCTGTTCGTCCGTCCGGACCCAGTTCTGCGGTTTTGAACTACTTTTGGAGTTATGAAATTTTTGCAATGCCTATGCCTTGCAGGTGTGCCAGATGGCTATTAAATTTCGCTGTCTCAAGGAGAAGGGGGGGGGGGGCATGAATTATTTCCTGAGCTGCTGTTTTTCAATGTAAAACGTGCATAACTTTTACATGCGACAACCAACTGGTCTCAGAATTTGCATACGCACGGCTTTAGTGTTTAGGGGTGCTAAGTAAAATTTTTTTAAATGGGGGGAGGGGCGGGGGTGAACGTACGTTCTACTCTTCATGGTATTCTAATAAAAGTGTCATCGAAATCAATTGGTTTGTACAAACTATAACTTTCCCCTCCGCGACTCCTTTCCGAGATCAGTGGATGGCCGGGGGGGGGGGGGGTAGAAATTAATTTTCTCTTTCATGGTATTCCAATTAAAGGTCTCGACAAAAGGGACTGTTTTCTACCAACTACCGCCCTAGTGTCTGACTACTTATCAAAAGAGGGGATCTGGGGGCGGGGGAGGGGCTAGAGCAGGTATTGTCCGCTCTGGGAAATAGTACTAATATCACTTTCTCATCTGTAATTAGGCTCTGCTGTTACATGGGAAATAAAATTATATATTATTATATTTTTAATCAATGATTAACCTTAATCATCGTTTGTGAAACCGGGCATAAGATGTGGTCTCGAATGTAATTCAACATCTCCATTCATTCGCAGTTATGGTTTATACAGGGTGTTCCTTGAAGACATGCTAATATTTAAGGAGGTGATTCTTTGGCCCATTTTAAGAAAAAAAAAGTGCCTATGAACGTATGTCCTAAACGTTTTAATTTTTGAGATACAGAGTAGTAATGTTTTAAAAAAATCAGTTTTTTAATAATAACAGAGCTACTATTGTAGACATCTTTATGAAATTTGGTACATGTCTTCTATCTATGCATTTTCCGATGTGCAATAGTTATTTACATAAAAGTCAGGAAAATGACACATTACTGGCGAGGAAATATAATTTCCGAGTCAAGTAATGTCATTTTACTCACGAGTTTTGTATTAAATTTTACCCGAAATCGTATTTTAATATATCATTTCAACTTTTATATAAAACTTTTGATTAATGTCAATCTGTCAGTGATGACAGGAGTCATTATAGACATTAGAAATGTCACAAATGCGGCCGGTAAAGTGACAGGTGGAATTCAATAAATGATAAAATCTATATATCATTGACAACAGATGTCAAGCATTTGTCAAGTATTTCTAAAATACTTGCATGTACCTTGGATCGACACCTGACTACGACTGTCACATTGACAGGCGGCCTTTTTACTTTTATCATTATGGACTAGGCCATAATATTGCAAATTATGGCCGCTGATTGCGACTTTAATCACCGTATTATAAACCAGTCGTACATAAAAGTTTTTATGTTCTCCACCAGCGGCGTCCGTACGGCTTTTGCATTGAAAATTTTTGGAGAAAAAAATACTACGCCACAACTTTCTCTTAAAATAAAAATTATTTTTCAAATCCTCCTCAATTTTTGAGCAAATTTGATTTTCTGATTTTTCTTTACCTGCCGCATGGTTTTCGCTCAAAAAAATAAAAATCGCAGTAGTAAAACGATGCGCCGGATAAAGAAAAACCAGAAGATCAAATTTGCTCAAAAATAAACGAGGATATATCTAATTTTTATTGTTTTTTTTTCTTTACTTCTACATTGTGAATTAAAAACTGTTTTTTAGCTGCTTCCCATGGTTTTATTGTTTTCAGGTAAACCCCCGCTTAAATATAACAAAAAACTGAACATTTTTTGTTAATTTTGGCGTAAGAAATACTTTCCAATGCGATTTCAAGGTATAATTTTTAAAGTGTATCCCCCACACCCTCCTGTGAGAGTGATACGTCGTCCCACTTTTTAATGTAAAATTTCATATAGAACTTTTGATTAATGTCAATCTGTCAGTGATGACAGGAGTCATTATGGACATTTACAAATGTGATAGGTGCGGCCGGAAAAGTGACAGGTGGCAGGGAAGGTAGTGTGGTCATGGAAACTAAAATTTCCTGACATATAGTAATGATGAAAATAAAGGTTTCAGGACGATTTTGGGTAGAAAATATTGACTTTCAAAAAATCTAATAGTAAGAGTTCGTCAATTTTATTGAAACATTTTCCAACCCCAGAGTAAAAGATACCACCGATAGGTAGAGGGTAGGTAACGACCCTGGTAACGACAAATCGATGCTGTCTAGTAAAATTTTATTATACGGAAAAACGGTATTTACTACGGGGACACTTTGACACTTAAACAAAAAAAATCTATGCAATAGAACATTTAAGAGCCCTTTATTAGTCCTTAAAAGCCTCACACTGTAATTTTACATGAGCGTATTGGTAAATCCTGAATTTAATTTCTAAAATTGAAAAGATTTTTAGTTGTTTTAAAATTGCCCCGATCATTTTTGTGTCTTACATTTTCAAATTTCAAATCATACGTCTGTCTGTCCGTACCGTAACTACTCCTACGGTTTCTAAGACATTTACGTCGTGCTTTTTATATTCGGTAGCTCAAAGCTTGCATCTGAACCAAAAAAAGTATATCTAATTTCCTGAACTATAATAATAGTAATAATAATAATAATGGTCATTTATTGAAGGATAACACTGTACATACTAATAAACAGAATTCATCACTATTAAATAGGAAATAAAAAACTAACGTCAGAGTCGCCTTCAATAGGGCGAAGTTCAGATTTATGCATAGGAGGTTTCATAATCTGCTCTTCCACTTAACCCTAATACTTAACAATAATTTTTATTGAAAGAAAGAATACGTCCCGAGTACAAAATTGAAATTATATTAATTAATTTAATATGAATTAGTTGGTTGTTTAACTGATTAGTGGCGTGCCATTTGCAATAAATGGCAATAATAATTTATAGATGAAGAAGAGAGGAAGTTAATTAATAAAAAAAGAGAAAAATATCAAGATAAATAAAAAACAAAATCGATGGGAAAACGTCCAAGGGTCATTTGACAAAGGGCCGTTAAAAGAATTCTTTTTTCCTCCCTGTTTTGAAAGAAGTACATTATCTGGCAATCATCAGGGATGTCGATAGTGATTTCTGGTGGGACCTACGTTTCCGGTAGGGTCAGTCCGGCTCTGCGGAAGGGTAGTAAAGTTTTTCTTATCGAACATGCATAATTAACGAGCGTAGTACAATAATCACGCAATAGGGTCATTTGTGTGTATAGTATGTGGAGTTCCCCGTAGACCCAGAGATAATTTTAAGGAAATTTGTCCGTCGTCCGCATCGAATTAGCTTCAAGGCACGTAAGTTTCAAGGCTAATTTAGCGCAAAAATACCAAGACGTGCGCGCGTGCGTTCGGAATAACAAATTAATCGGCCTAGTTAATGACGATTTTCGCAACAAAGTACAAGGCTCACCTTGCTCATTTACGTTGAGAATGTACGGAGCGGCTAAGGGCGAAAGGGTCCCTTCGTCCATAGCGGCGACGAAAACTCGCGCACTTTTCGAACGTAATTGATAGGCACGCGCTGCCTACCTTAAGAACATCGAAACGAGTGCCACAACAAACAAAAGCTAACAAGTGACTGACTGACTCACGTGTCCACCGATGGCGCCGGTCGCACGTTACATTAAAAAGCACCGCGACGTCGACAATGTTGAATCATCGCGTGACGTCATGCGCGTTGCACGCTCGCGAGTTTGTAATTTATTGCGTTACCCACACACGATTTCACCCTCGCGGCTCGTGTGGGTGGATTTCGGGCAGCAATTCGCCCCCTTTAGCGAAAGGAGCCTGACGTAAGCGTGTCCAATTAATTCCGAAACGGTGGGTTTTAAATGACGACGACGAGTGGGCGAGTAACTATATATCGACCGGGGGTGCATCCGATCCTTCGGGTCCAGACGTGCAATTTGCATCCTTGCCATCTCAGGGCAACATAAATATTTTATTAAAGACAGTAGGTCACGGTTATCACAATAGAATTTTTCCAAATTCCGAGCATAAACATTTTACCCGGCGTTCAGTTTACTCAAGGGACTACCTATGACAATATTTCGTTCCGTTTTGTAGGCGATACTTATTGATCGCTTAAGGATAGCTCTGCAATGACCAATATTTTGGCCTGATAAAGCTAAGCAGGCGTTCTGATAGCATGTATCTCACCTTAGAATGTTCAGAGGGACTACATGTCCTTTTTTATATTTTTCGCTTAAGGGCTCTGTGACCATTCCACGCTCCTGATTCACTATGGAATGTCATTTTGGTGCGATTCCGTGAAATGTCCAAATCTTAATCCTTATGTCGGGGAAAGGCAAATTTCCGAAACCGTCTTCTTTACTAAATCAAGTGCGGGACCATTTTGGGCTTTTAGGTGCCGAGAGATGGCGAACAAATTGACATGACCCTAATAGCAAGGGGTCAAGGTTGGTAGCAATGAATTTCTTTCCTGGAGACCTTTCATTAGAGTACCATGAAGGATAAAACAAGTTCCCCCCCCCCCCACGCCCTCCATTGATCTCGAAAAGGAATCGCGAAGGGAAATTATACTTTCCTTTCGATGAGACCTTTCATTACAACATCATGAAGAGTAAAACGTGCCCCCTCCCTCCTTTTTCAAATGTTTTATTAGTAGGGGCAGGCGTATGCAAAATATAAAACAAATTGGTTGTCGCGTGTAAAAGTTATCCAAGTTTTACTTTCAGAAACGGGAAATCCGGGAAATAATTCATGCAGGGGTCCCTCATAAAGATACCAAAATTTGGAGACCGTTTGGTATAGGCTACGTAGTATAAATTGAGCACAACTGTCAATGTTTCCTTTTTTGGTACATGATTAATGGGGAGGGGGCTTTTTACACATCAACAATAATGCAGGAAGAATCAAGCGCTTAGAGAAATTCCCCCAAAATTTTCAAGATATTCACAAGTGAGTTTTTACGTCGTCAGTCTCTTCTAGACGATCTTTCCGCCCTTTAAGAGTATCCTGCTCCTTTGGCATCACCAATAGATATGTCTCATATTTCTGAGTACTCTCTTCGACCCTTCATTTTCAAGACGATTCATTTTCTCTTGGTGAGTACTGTCCTCCAACAAAGCGTTTTCGAGATTTTCGCTCTTCAAGTGTTGACATCACCAATGGATATATTTCTTTGTGAGTACCCTTCTCCGACCACTTGTTCTTGAGGTACAAGGAATTCGTATATAATTCGTAGAAATTAATTCCTTTCGTTGAGACCTTTCATTAGAGTACCATGACACCACCTCCCCCCCCCCCCTCCTTAAGACAGCGCAATTTGATGACCGTCTGACACACCTTCAAGGTTGCAAACATTGCAAGACTCTAGGACCATTTCCCAAAAGTATAGTTCAACAGGGCAAAAGTGGGTCCGGAGGGACGGACAAAACGCAAACTATACCATATTTTTAGCACATTTGTAATTATTAAAAAAATGTGCTATTATTTGCGTACCTAAGCGGTTTTGAGCTACTATTAGGGGAATTGTCGTAGAGTCCTAGAATGTTTTGGAATAGGTAACCTATACTTTGAAGGTGTGCCAGGCGACCCTCACATTTTGTTGTTATAAGCCCCCCCCCCTCCCCCACGAATTGATGCGGCCCGTTGGTACTGCAATTCAGCTTCAACTGAACTGTGATGCTAAGGATCCCTGGGTCGAATTCGGGTTCGGGCATGGATATTTGTCAATGTATAGTGGGTTGGGTTGGTAGAACAGCCTTGGCTAAAATCCCCCCCCCCCCACTCAAAAATAACGGTAAAATAAATAAATAATTAAAATTTGCTGGGCTGCTGTTTTTGATAGTGAAACGTGCATCACTTGCCTTTAATGATGCCAAGTAAAACTTCTAAAAATGGGGGGGGGGGGCTTGACGGGAGAAGGAGGGGGTAGAAATTGATTGTATCTTCTTTCTTTCTTACGCCTTATCAAAATAGTGGATTGGGAACTTCAAATTGAACATTGTCATAGGAAATGCATCGAGGTAATACGTTTTAACGTTTTCCCAGAGAAATTGGTGATTTTTAAATGTCGGTAATTTCCAAAAACATTTTAGCAAATACTACATGCTAAGTACACTACGAGTAATTACTAGAGTAACCTTTTCTTTTCGATTTAATTAATGACTCATTTTCGAAACTATCCTCGTGTTTATTAATTCGCATTAGGTACAGATCTGAATCAGCTACTTTCACAAAAAATTCTACTACTGGGCAATTTGAGAGCATTGATCCTGTTAAACACAATTACCTATTCATTCTATTTGAAATTTAGACTTGTATTAGGTGAGGCATTTACTGAAACCATTACAATGCCATTACTTAAATTATCCTAGCAAATTGGGTGAAATAACACTGCGGTTAGGGGAAGGTTCGGATTTCTTTTCTTGTATAGCAAAGCCGATCGTAAAAAATTCGTAACCGTAACTGACGATCAATAAACAACCTCTTTAGCATAGAGTGAATGAATGAGTAGGGTAAGTAAAAAGAAATGTGGTAGGTGTCTACTTACGATATGTTAGGCCATCACATACGTCCACGCTTTACTTCCATTTCGAGCACAAAAAATAGACACACGTGTCCCTAACGCGGAAATAAAGGGACGCCCTTTAGAGATTATCCTAAATATATTAATAAGAAACAATCACTACATTCTAAAATAAAAATGCAACCCCTAATGGGTATACGTTTGCGCACATGCGCGCCCCATTCGACACCGAGCAAAAGGAATAAATAAGCGAAGATTCTGTAATAACGTAATAATTATTCGCATTCGTATATACCGGGCGTTCATGTCATTATTACATTTTGTAAGTCGTCCTAGGTCCCAGAAAATAACGTCTGAAGACTTGGGGTTGGAATATGGCCTTAAACATGGAAAGATTTCAGTTCCCTGACATCTGTCTCATTTTCGAATTTTCAGAGAATACGTGCAAAAGTTCATTTTTCCATCCTCACCGGATGAAACTACGGCAGCTTAAAGGAAAGGAATTTGATTTAAAAAAAATTCAAAATTGTAACGAGTATACCTAGACGCATAGGAAAATCCGTTAGTACCATTCTTATGTATTGCGGTTGTTGTTAATCTTTGGGGGATGTTTGGATCTTCTTGAAAACTAAAAAAGACTTTGGATAGTAGGTCCCAATTTGGGTCTTCACGTCAACTACTCGCACAATCGAAGTCTTCGTTTTTATCGATTCTCCTTTCCTAGCTTTTCTGGTAGCTTCTTTCCTCAACAAAGTGATCTTCCAACCGTCTTAACTCCTTTTTTGTTATGTCTTCCATTATTTTTAACGCCTTTTTATCCTTGGAAGTTCGCAAGTTATCTTTACCTCAAAATCTTCTTTGATTCACTATCTCATTTAAGCGTCTTAAATTTTCTGTTTCTTCTTCCATTTTTCCAACATGGAAATTTTTTTCTGTTTGCATCAATTCATTAGTTTCCATCATTTTTCCACACGCTATCAACCCAAGAGGGGTCTCGGCTATGATGGGAGACTCCTGTGATTCGGTGGGGGTGGAGGTATTAAATACCCCCTCTTAAAAACACAGGGACCAGGGGGTCCTACCCCGCTAATTTTCCAAAATTAAGTTGAAGGTTTAGAGCGTTTTGATACGAGAATTTCACTTCTTGAGAACTTGGGGAAAAATTACAAAATACCCCTTTTTTTCTGACATAAATAATAAACAATTTTTAACATTTTGCTGTAGTAGGCGTTGACAAAATGTCAAAATAATGCATTTATGACTTAGATCATATGATTGATGGTTTCTTTAAATGACATAGGTGATAAAGAATCATATTATGTTGATAGTTTCTCAAAAACGCCAATTGTACAGGGTGGCCAACTAAGAATGGGAGGTACTGTATCTGAGAATCTATCCATCGTAGAGGCTTTCGGTAAAAAAATTTATTACTAAAACGGCCACGCGCAGAACTTGGAAAATATTTTTAAGTTTCTGAAATGGCCGCTAGGGGGCGTAACTGCAATCTGGAATCTAAAAAAGTGATTTTTCTGTGAATTCCGCTATATTAACCTAACAAAAAAAATGTCCGGTCTTTGAAGTTGACGATAATCTGAACAATTTTTGTTTGACAATTTTCAAAAATGTTCACATATCACCGCTTGAGGGCTTTTTTCGACATTCCGACAGAAATGGTTAATTTTCCCAAAAAAATTAAATGCATTGGTATGATTTTTTTTCCATGAAAAAGTAGCTAAATGATGCCTAAACAAACTCGTGAAAACAGCATCTCGATATCTTGAGATATATATTTTTATACCGTGATGGCCAGCATTTCGAGCATTTACGGCGGCATTAAAAGCTTTCTTTTTTAAATCGATCCACCTTAGGGCCACAAATTATATAATAAAAATAATTCCGGAAAAATTATCTTAAAAAAATAAAATTTTGAGGGTATAAAATTTTCTTTGACCTAAATTTTAGGTTAGGAACAAGATATCGAGATGCGGTTTTCGCGAGCTTGTTTAGGCATTATTCAGCTACTTTTTCATAAAAAAAATCGAACCAACGCATTTAATTTTTTTGAAATTAATCATTTCTGTCCGAATGTCGAAAAAAGCCCTCAAGCGGCGATATGTGAAACTAACAAAACTTCAAATAGTATAATATTTGTAGCCGAAGAATAACTCTTTTCAATTAACTCGAGTTTGTTAAAATCGGCTCAGTCGTTTCCAAGATACAGGGTGTTCTTTACGGAAACCTTTGAATACCCCCCACCACTTCATTTTTAGAGATACAGGAAAAATTGTCAAACAAAAAAGGTTCAGATTATCGTCGTCTTCAAAGACCGGACATTTTTTTGTTAGGTTAATATAGCGGAATTCACAGAAAAATCACTTTTTTAGATTTCATATTGCAGTTACCCCCCTAGCAGCCATTTCAGAAACTTAAAAATATTTTCCAGGTTTTTCTCGTGGCCGTTTTAGTAATAAATTTTTTTACCGCAAGCCTCTACGATGGACAGGTTCCCTCCCAGATACAGTACCTAGCATTCTTATTTGGCCACCCTGTACAGCTTAAAAAGTTCCTATGAGGATGTATTATTTGTTTTTTGATATCTTTTCAAACAGGGTTCAGAACAAAATAAAAACTAATATGATTAATTTCGGTTTTTAGGGAAATTTTTCAAAAGAAAAAAAAATCCTCCTATGTATTGGTTTTGTCCGTCTGTCTGTTCCTCATCTAATTCGAGAACGAAAACAGACAGCGATGTCAAATCTTCGCCAATCGATTTCAATTCGAGCCGTTCTTAGGGTGTAGCGAGTGAAGCGGCAGCTCGAGGCTTCGCGCTATGTCATTCTTGCATGCTCCCCTCCCTTTCGCCGCATCATTCAAAATGCTGAAAATGACGACTTTGCAAGTATAATTTTGCATACATTTTCAGGGGAGGACCCTCGGACCCCTCTCCCCCGGGGGTTTTTCCTCCCCCCCCCGGCACCATTGTTAAAAAAGGCCCTGCAAAAATGTTTCGCTCCAGGCCTCGAATTTGCTAAGGAAGGTCCAGGACGAGTCATTGTCATACTGGCATAAAGGGTTGAGGGTCTCAAGCGCATATGGTCCAGGACGAAATTGTTATCTTGCCTCTTCGCCCCTTTCTTTAACACGAGCTTGTTGCAGTTGCAGTTTCTCAAAAACTGCTCATAGTGTTAGCCAACGGGTGAAAAAAGTTTAACTGCACCCCAGGTTTGATCACTCTGTAGGTATATAGGGTACTTTAAGCCTTATCAAAAACCATCAATGACATTGTAATTGTGAATTGAGTTTACTAATACAATATCGAATTCAGCGGTGCACATATTCATCAAATTAATTATTTTTGAATTGTAAATGGGCTCTAGAAATGTATGTTTTAAAATTTTTAAATCTTCTAAATCTAAAACATATTTTCAAACGTATTTGGAGGGCTTTCGGGCGTCTTTTTGGTCCCTTCCAGAGTTTCCGGGTTTTTTTTTTAAACCTATAAGGCGCGGGCGAAAGTACTGATCCGCCATCTGTTGGTGCTTTAGTTTCACTGTGGTAATTTTTAGGTTGGCAACAAAACGACAGTTTGGCCAACACCAAGCCACAAAAATTCAAGTGAAACGTCAAATTTACATTCCCAAATCATCTCGAATTGACGTCGTTGATTGACTGAAAAATATGATTAAGAAGAAATTGATTATGCTTTTAATGTGCCAAAATTGTTAAGCTTTTTTAAAAACGTGCAAAGTGCGTAAAGTGATAAAAAAACATCATGGGACTTTTCAGTGCCGCATCGCCATTTGATAGTGACGTCGGTGAGTCACTTTTTTGTTCTAATTAAATTTGTTTATTACGCTATCAGTTTTAAATTCAATTGAAGTATTCACATGACTTTTAATGAGCGTGATTCACTGGAGGAGTATTAACCTTTTGCTCATTAGAAAAGGCGACAAGTGAAAACAACACTTCAGAGCAGTGGGGTCTCATTCTGGACGTCTGCGATAGGGCGAGTAAAACTTCGGAGGATTCGAGAAATTGCTTGCGGTCGATAATAAGGAGACTAAACAACGTCGATCCACACATTGCGGTCCAGGCGGCAACGGTAGCTACCACTCGGAATTCTCTTTTGTGATTGTTTACCTTTTGCAGTTGCTCGACGCCTGTGTTAGTAACTGCGGTAAAACCTTTCACATAGAAATCGCATCCAGAGAGTTCGAAAATGAATACGTCAAACTGATTAAGAAGGCCCATCCGAAAGTTCAACAGAAATTGAAGGAGTCACTAAAGAAATGGGCGGAAGGCGAATTTAAATCTGACCCTCAGCTGAACTTGATACCGTCACTTTTATTCAAATTGAAAAGCTCCGGTATAGACTTTACCGTCGAAACGGTACGTATTAATTCGCACGAACGGGCCTCGATGGTAACGTTTTAGCCCGCGAAGAAAACCATGACACTTAGCAAAGACCCGAATGTCGTCCAAACCCAAGACGAGGAAGATCAAATCGCGAAGGCGATCGAATTGTCACTGAAGGAAACTTCGGGTTCGCCCAGAAGTTCGTCTTTAGGCGGAACCTCTCTGTATCCGACCAATTTAAATCTTGCGTCGAGTGTTATCGCGACGACACCTGTGAAGGAACCGCGGAAAGTGAGGGCGCTTTACGATTTTGAGGCCGCCGAGGATAACGAGTTGACATTTACAGCCGGCGAAATAAGTAAGTTAAAAACAATTGTTTTTGAAACCCTAATCAAAATTCTGATTTGTCCGACGTATTTTGTAGTTGTAGTAAGTGACGATTCGGACACGAATTGGTGGAAAGGTAGTAACCACCGCGGCGAGGGTTTGTTTCCTGCAAACTTCGTGACCGCCGATCTGTCAGCCGAGCCGGAGCAGTTGCGTAAGTCTCTCAAGCTTTTGAAGCGTGTTACTTTTAACGTCGTTGTAGTTAGTGACAAATTAAAAAAAGTGCAATTCAAGGAGAGCGCGGCCGAAGTATTAGAGGATAAAGAGCCGGAAGATGTCGAGATAAACGAGGAGAAAATCGATCGATTGCTTCATTTACTGCACGAAGCGGATCCTACGAATCCCTCGCAGGACAGTGACGAGATGCTCAAGCTGGAACGTAAAATTTGTCGATTTGGTAATTTTTTCGAGCGTAATTTGATTGTTTCAGGCGAGGTGAACGGTATGGGTCCCTTAATCGACGCAGAATTGGAAACTGTAGATAGAAAACACGCCCAGTTAACAAAACTAAGTTCCGACTTAGTGGAGGCGTTAAGTTTGTATCATATGCTAATGCGTGAACCTCAAATGCCTCCCGTTAACAAAATGCACTACGATTATCAACCTACCGGGGCTCATCCATCTGTGGTAAGCCTTTACCTATCGTTCACAGCTCACGGTAACGTGTCCATTTTAAGATATACAATGGGGCCATGCCGATAAACCGGGGACCCCCACAATATATGCCACCGTACGCAATGCCACCAAATGCCCAACCCATACACATGCCGCCACCACCCGGCATGTTGCCGCAACAGCAACAAATTCCACCCGGTATGATTCAGTCACGCATGAACTTTCCACCACAGCAACCTCAGCTTAGGTACCCCCGGACACTCTTCAGTTTGCCTTTACAGTTACGGACCTCACAGTATGCCATCGGGATATGCCCCGGCCCCTCCTCAATCGACGCAATTGCCCCATCAAGCCCCACAGAGCGGCGTCTACCCCACCTCCTCCAACTCTCACATAATGTAGTTTCTGCTTCAGAAATGCAAAAAGTTTAAATTATTTAAAGTCAACGATGAGGCTAAGTATGTGAATATTTCTATGTTAAACAATTTTAGATGTAGCTGTGCGATAATAACGAGACACTTGACTTTGTTGCATTTGCTATAGATGACACACCTGATATACAGTACCTAATGTGTGTTATTAAATTAAATATTCTAAAAATTTGCTATAAAACAGAATTGAGAGGTTTCGGTTTGTATTTTATTACTGTACAGCTTTGATTCCTATGTTTAAAAAAAAAGATCTTTGTGTAAATTTATAATAAATATTTAGTTTTTGCACGGCGTCCCTTACTTAATTAACCTTATTTGATTTGTTTCCCCTTTCGCGTTGTGGTTGATAAAAATTATCTCTTGATTAGAGTATCGTGGGTAAACACATGTGACTGGTTCATTTGTTTTTCATTGCGAAATTCGTGAGAAAATCTTAATCATGTCTATTGTTTATATGTTGTTATTCTTTTTTTTTCGTAATCTAGGTAGCTTTAGTTCAGAGATTATTGTTACAAAATAATTGTTTAATTTGCCTTCTTATATATCTTTATTTCCTTCTCTTTTTTTGTTCATGCTTCCTCTATTATCGTCTATATTTTTAAGGTTTCTTGCCTATGCGTTAATTATTAAGGAGTGAGATGCCCAAGGGGGGAGGTCAGCATTTACTCAAGCCAAGACGGCAAAATGGGAATACTAATTAATCGGCTTTTCTATTAAAAAAGGAAATGTTCTATAAGACGGAACAGGAGGTGGCTAAACTTCCTCGCAATACATAATAATAATGATTTTTTGGCAAGATAACATACTTTACAGATAAGTAATGAAAGGGGCTTAGGTACAGCATCGCCTATGTATCGCATAAGCATTACATGAGCTTTTTGACTCCAATATAACGAAAATGTTCATTTTTAAAATGGTTACAATTTTTATGTATAATCATGCTTTATAGTATAATTAATTAGTCAATTGTGACCTATTTGTTTTTTAATTGTTCGATTATTATCTGTGAATTTGTGTCTGCGCTCTAAAATATAACAAAAAAAACTAAACGTCCGTGCTATCTAGCGGTCAATCATAAAAGTAGCAATAAATAAAGTTATAAAATTCAATGGTTATAATTCAACAGCGCCCCTATAAAGAGTTAGGCAACACATCATACTTCCATGAACAATTTAAAAAAAAACACGACAACCTTGTGTGAGAGTTTTCACTTTTTCATTATCTATTTTTAGTGTTTGAGAGCCTTCAAAACGTTACGAAAAGAAGCCTTTTGAGTTTTGAGTCTTTTAGAACATTAAAAGGTCTTTATTGGTTTTAAAGTTAAAAGGTGTATAAGAGGTTTATTGATCTTTAACAATTTAAATTTTCATGAGCCTCCAAATGTTTTTTCTATCTCCTATCTATATCATTTACTTTCTAATTCTTGGCAAATTATCTTCAAGTGTTTTCAATGATTGCCATAGCCTTTTAATGGCCTTTAAGGCGCTGCAAAGTGTTTGAGAGTCCTTAAAAGATTTTGAAGAACGTTTCGTTCTTGAAACTTGAAGAGCATTTAATAATTATTTACATAATAGTCAGGAAAATTACACATTACTCGCGAGGAAATATTGAAGTAGAGCCTCGTACTGTAATTTCTGAGTTTTCAAGATATTTAGTTCGTTTTTTTTTTGCATTCGGTGGCTAATATTTTTGGCACCTCAACTAAGAAAAACCTTCACGATTAATGTGCAGTCTGCGCAATGTCAACTTACTTATTTATAGAGATATTTTTTGAAATTTTAACTTCAGATATTTGTTGTAAAGGCAAACATATCGCATATTTTAAGCATCAGGTGTGTGCATGCGCGAACGCGAAGTTTCTCATATATAAGTATGCCACAACTTATTTTCCTTTGTACAGGGTGTTTCATTAACCCTAGTTTACTGGCCACTAAAACTTTCAAGTTTCCGGGCGTGGGGTGGAACGAACCCCATTCTAACTGTCGCCACCTGCGCGCCGTATTTCCATGCATAACCTCAGAAAAAAAACTTATGGACATTGAAAGTGGCTGTGAGGTGCGATTCACCCCAGACCTGTAAATTAGGGTTAATAAGAAAAAGTGTTTTCACGAGAAATTTTGGTGTAGTCGATTTTTGGTAAAAAAGGAAGGTTATACACTGCCTTTTTTTGAGCCCCGAAAAAAAAATTGTGTCAGATCGACCCGGAAACAAAATTTTTCTTATAGAATGTGGCCTGTAGAATCCATAATTTCAAAGAGTTCCAAGATCGGACTACTAGATCAAAAGTTACAGCCCTTTGAATTTTTTGTCAAAATTGGCCCATAACTTTTGATTGAGACGTCTTATCGAAAAAGTACGAATCGATTTGGATTCTACGCACCCAAAGAAAAAGTTTTTTCCCGAGAAATTTTGGTGCAGTCGATTTTGGTAAAAAAGGAAGGTAATACACTGCCTTTTTTTTACCCAGAAAAAAAATTGTCTCAGATCGACCGGGAAAAAAACATTTTCTTATAGAATGTGGCCTGTAGAATCCATAATTTCAAACAGTTCCTAGATCGGACTACTAGATCAAAAGTTGCAGCCCTTTGAATTTTTTGTCGAAATTTGTTTTTTAAAGTCCATAACTTTTGATTGAGACGTCTAATCGAAACAGTACGAATCGTTTTGGATTCTACGCACCCAAATTAATAAGAAAAAGTTTTTTCCCGAGAAATTTTGGTGCAGTCGATTTTTGGTAAAAAAGGAAGGTAATACACTGCCTTTTTTTGGCTCGAACAAGAAATTGTCTCTGATCGACCGGAAAAAAAATATTGTCTTATAGAATGTGGCCTGTAGAATCCATAATTTCAAACAGTTCCAAGATCGGGCTACTAGATCAAAAGTTACAGCCCTTTGAATTTTTTGTCGAAATTGGTTTTTTAAAGCCCATAACTTCTGTTTGAGACTTCTAATCGAAAAAGTACGAATCGTTTTGGATTCTACGCACCCAAATTAATAAGAAAAAGTTTTTTCCCGAGAAATTTTGGTGCAGTCGATTTTGGTAAAAAAGGAAGGTAATACACTGCCTTTTTTTTTGCTCAGAAAAAAAAATTGTCTCAAATCGACCAGAAAAAATATTTTCTTATAGAATGGGGCCTGTCGAATCCATAATTTCAAACAGTTCCAAGATCGGACTACTGGATCAAAAGTTACAGCCCTTTGAATTTTTTGTCGAAATTGGTTTCTAGTCTATAACTTTTGATTGAGAAGTCTGATCGAAAAAGTACGAATTGATTTGGATTCTACGCACCCAAATTAATATAGGTTACAGGCCATATCTATGGAACCGATAATTGCACAACTTCGGGAAACAAAGTTTGTTAACAAAAGAGGCCAAGAGAAATCGCTGGAAATTATTTCCGAGTTTCTAGATTTGCCGCTAGAGGGCGTACGATTCATGGTTAACCTTTTAAAGTATACCTTAGGTTAAATAGAAAAATGACTGTTTATTATACACAACAATCATACATAAAAAAATACATGCATTGCAATCTTGTATCTATATTGCACATATTGCTCTAGCTCGTAAAATATGAGGGGTGGGGGAAGAGGAACATCTCTATAAGGAATTGAATGTAACTTCGGTTTAGGCATAATAGGTCTCGTTGGAAAGAGCTCTCTTCGTGGAATCTGATTTTACTTGAATAGAGTCTTTAGTAAATGTGATGAGTGGTAGAGGGCGCGATGTGACATTAACATGAACTTTGTAAGTTTTTTTTACCATTTCAAATGGAACGATATAATTATTTATTAATTATCAATTATACTGAAAAAATGAGAATATCAATAAAAACCACATTTTGATATCTGTTTCCTAAGCAGAGATATTGCGAAAATACGAATATTCACAAATTTTAATTGCAATATTTAGACTCATTCAAGTTGGGTTTGAAATAACAGAAACACAGTACCACGTAAAAAAACTGTCACAGTCTCTAGTATCCTTTCATTAAACATTTTCGTGCGAATTATCACCACGCCGTTTGTTATCATGGCCTGCTTCTGTTTTTGATTTCATGTTTATTTAAATTTGTGTTCATTAAAGTAAAGAGGATGTTTTTCATACTTAATGATATAACATGAATAACGAATGATAACAATTATAACCATAAAAAGATTTATCTGACAGATCTGCTAACGCTTTTATTTCAAGGCCTCCTATGACAATTATACATATAACGGTCAGCATTTTAGAAAATCTTAAAACAAAAACCATACACAGATAGGTATATGGAATATAATATTGATCGATGTTTTCCACATTCGAAAGTGCAAAAAAATAAAGCAGGTTTCATTTGAAAAAATCCTGACCATTAATTTTAAAACGCCCTATAGAATGGCGATCAAAATCTAACACATTCGCGTGTAGCATCAGTCTTGTTGATTTTGGAAGACTTTTTGAACTTCAAGTCAACGGATCCATAGGTACAGGGCGTTAAAAAAGCAGTCAAATTTTGAAAAATATTGAATAACTTGAAAACCTTAGATGCTAGGTATAGGGAAATGTGGTATAAGACGACGTAGATTTAGAAAATACAGGGCGTTCTATTTAAAATAAGATCATGATAATATTTTCTTTCGATAGATCATGAAAAATTAAATGGTATGCGTGAAACATCCTGTATCACGAGTTTGGGATAAGTGTAAAAAGGAGGCAGGTGGAAGATATGACCAAATATGATAATTTTTTTCAAACGCGAAGTTCAAGTGATAAACAACGTAAATAAATTAAACTCGTGCCAAATTTACCTCATTAAACAACAATTAGCTAAATTTACTCTATTTACACCATCTCTTTGTATTGGTGAATCAACACAATACGATTTAATAATGCGGTATATTTATGTTTAATTCTACAATAAGTTAATCTATATCTAATTTTTTGAAAGATCCTTGAATATCGTAAGAATTGTAACTATTTTTATCCTTCACCCTCGACCTGTCGTTGGTGTTGGCAAGATCCTCCAAAAACCAATCTCTATAACCTTCAATTATTATTTTCCAATTACCTGAAAATCGGCAATTGTTCGCACGCTCACCTTAAAACACTCGATCTATTTACCTATAATATCATCGATAGATTCGTCGTTTCCGCCATATTCAGTTGGAAAGTATCTCCTGGGAATAACTGAAAACACCTCTTCGAAGTTTTCTCCATAGAAACTTGTCTGAAACTGTCCTGTCAGCGTTTCCAAAAAAAAATGGAGAAGATTAACCTACCCTTGATCCTAACTTCTTACTTATAAAGGGCTTGGCTAAGCCGAATAGCGTCTGTACATATCCCGGACAGTTGACAAAGTAGAGGGCCTTAATTCTACAAGGATAAGAAAGGAAGATATTGTAAAATATTTTCTTCAAAGTAAACGGGGTTAGTTGCTTCAGTAGGCTCAGCGAGAAACCCTTAAAATCGACTATCACATAATGTCCGATTACCATGCAGGTATCGTTCTCGTTCATGAACACGTCCATGACCATCATCGCAACCTTCATCACGTCATAAAAGTCTACCTTGTCAAACTCGAAAACGTCCCATTTCACTATGACGCACTCCTTGTCGGGGGTGCCAAACGGAATAATCGCGCTGAAAGCTCAATTTGGGGCGATTTTCTTACGGCGGAACGTGCGCACTTACCCCTTTCGCAATATCTCCTGTATTTCCGGTAGAAGTGGATCTCGATTGGAGAACATTTCAGGCGCTGCCGTTTCCAGCTTTACGAAGTTGGTAAATTTCTTCTTTACAGTTTGATTGCAAAATTTGCACCCCCTTACGTAGTTCAGTAGCCAAAGACCTTCTGCATGGTTTTCCGTTGGTATGACGAGAGATTAGTTTGTTTGGAACTTACCCGGCCGACATTGCACCCGGTACTCCGTTTGTATCCATTCTCGAAAATTCCGAAGAAACTCTTCCCGGTGACCGGGCGTTTCGTTCAGCTCGTCTCTCGCTTTCTTCTCAATTTCTTTTGTGAAAGGACGCGCGTACATATCGTAGGTACCTACAAGTTGACTGAGTGTGTTTTACTATGAAAGCCTAATCTTTGACTGTTATCGATGCTTACGTTCCAAATTGACCTCAGTGGTACACAAAGAAACACACACGCTAAACAAATACAAATAATTAATAGGTACTGGTCAGCGCAAAATTGCGCATAATTTTCTTGCCTTCTACTTCAAAGATGTAAAAGATTAGGGAAATACCTACATACTGTGTTTTGATGACGAAACGACCGATACAACAAATCCCCTTATCTGTTGCTACCAGAAACTTTGACCCGCACGACAAAGTCATATGTAGTGAGTACGTAATTTCCAGTGGCTTTGTTTAGTACCTACTAAGTGCCTACTTAAAACTAAATTTAGTAATTATACGAGTGTATTTATCCTGCAAATGGCTGGAAAATCCTACCGCATAATCGTTTGACATGGATTTAATTTTATAACTAAGTATAGTAGATAGGATCAGGGGCGTTGTGTAGACTCGCGTCCCTAAATTTAGGGGGCCTCTTGAGCTGATTCTAAAAAACTGTCCGTCTGTCTATACAATGATAAAACTTAAAACTGCATGCTATATATTATTGAATTTTATTCCCGAGTCCTTGACGATGCACAACAGTTATGAAATTGTGCACAAAAATAAAAACAAAAATACATAAATATTTTTTATTAATTTTTACTAATTAGCGAGAATGGTCTTTTGGAGGCCACAAAAGAAATACTTACATAAAAGTATGCAGATAAACTTTCCAACGATTTTCCTTTATAATATAAGAGATGGCTACATGCCTCGGTGAAAGGTTCGCCCGCAAAAGCGAAAACCCGGCCGTCAGAAGACGCGTTGGAACCAAAGAGCGTTGGCAATCAAACGTGTAAATTTTCCGAAAAAAAAACTGTCGATGTGCACGGCTGAATTTTTCAAATATTTCCTAATTTTTAAAATTCGTTATACTTAATCCGATTTTTCTCATATTTTTAATTATTAGTTGTACTGACTTTTGTGATTTTCAATTTGTGCTTATTTATTTTAAAATTTAATGTGCATCAGATTTTTCTAAATCTAAATTTTTTAAATGTGAATTTTTTTGAATATTTAATTTTATTTTTTTTTATTATAGGCATATTCGACCTCTCCAAGTTTTCAAATCAGTTTTTTAGAAATACTCATTATTTTATGAATTTTTTTAATTACCTAAATTCTCAAACCTCCGAATTTTGCTAATTCTTAGAATTTCGCTAACTTCTTGCTGAAATTTTTTTCTGATTGCTTTAAATTCTCCCAATTGAAAGTTCTGGTTCTTAAATTTTTTCATTTTTTGGATTTTTTTTAGCTCTTAAAGTATGTCTTAGTGTCCCGAAATGTATAGATTTATTTAGTTTTTTTCATTTTCTTCTGTTTTAAGTCTTTATGAAGACTGTTTTAATTTTTTATAAATATTCCGAATGTCTTAATGTCCCGAAAATGGTTTTATTTTACCAATTTATGCCGAATGTTTTTATTGTCTTCGGATTTTTGTAATGCTTTAAATCATTTTCATTTCTTTAATTTTTCGAATTTTTCTGAAATCTTCCTCATTTTTTTGTGCAATTGTTGCAATATTATCCTATTGGCACGTAAATTTAATTACGTCCTTTGTTTATTTACAAATTAACAATAAATTTATAGCAGTTTTGAAATGAATATAACAGTAAAATATTATGTACACTCACGAATAATACTGAAAATTCGTTTTGCTTATATAACAAGCGCCAGAACGTTCCCGAACAAACACGTCATATTTCTCGGAAAGATTACGTCACATCCGTTCTTTATCGCCGATGACTAATCTTTCATGGCGCCTCGATATCTATCGAGAGTTCGAGAATATTCGCTACACTGTCCCTCTCTTAAAACTGTTGCGTCTCGCAACACGGACGACGGTTGTTGGGGAGACCCAGTTCTACACACAATTCTCGTGGGATACTCTCCATTTTCATTGTCCGGCAAGGCATCACAGTGGATTTTTTTTTATTTTCAAAAATTTTTTCAAAATATGACATTTAGCGAAGGTCAATCAAAAGTTTTATTTTTTCGATAATGTACCTAAAAAAATGATGTGATTGTGGAAGAGGTTTAACTGTGCCTCAGTCCAAAACTTAGCCCCCTGCGCGATTTAGTTTCTCTCGACAAAAAAATTCGAAAAACTGTCAAATTTTGAGGGGTGTAACAGCGAAATCGTTAAAGTTAGGGGTATATCATGTTACATAAAAAATAAGTACCTACTTTTCAAGTATGTACTCTTCAAATCAATAATAAAATATGAGGTGTTCTATTTAAAAAAATGCAAGTTTGATACGCCACTGGAATACAGCACGCCTCTGGTGATCAAAAATATTTTAGAAACATGCCGGCGGTAATTGTGTACAAAAGACTTTGTTCTGTATTTTTTATGGTAACGGAGTTATAATCCGAGGGATCTTAGATGCTACACCCTGTACATTTTTTGGACAGTTCTTGTGTATGAGGAATGGATAATGCATTAAATGGCAAATAATTGAAAAATCGTTCCGTTTAATCCCATCGGGCATGGTGTCTAATAAAACTGAAATGGGCTCATTGAAGCACCCATATGTACAGGGTGGTTTAAAATCGTGGTTCTCCATTGGGATCTCCGCAACGGTGAGAGATACAGTGTAGCTCCTTTTTCTGACTCTGAAAATAACTGAGATACCTATCACCGAAAAACTGAAAATGTTCTCATTTTCTCTGAATCTGTCATAAGATTTCTGATGGGCGCTTATATGATTTTTACGGAATAAAATAGAGGACAAAAAGAAAAATTATTACGTGTCACATTATACTTTTACATAAATTTACAACAAAATTTCTAATTCAAATATTTTACATACAAATACAAAACATCCATGGATAATCAACCTGGCTATGATGGCGATGCATTCATTAATGTCAATGAATAATTAATGTCTTTCTTTGTTCTCTATCTCATTCCGTAAAATCCAATATGGCGTCCGTAAGAAGTATGAAGGGAAATTCTGATAACAGATTCATATTTTCTGAAAAAAAAGTCCTAACGGGAACCGTCCATTTCCTACGGTTTAAGCTAGGAAAAATGGAAACGAAATTTGACATTTTCAATTTTTTGGTAATATCTTAGTTATTTTCGAAGATTTTTCAAAATTTTCAAATGCGTTTTTTTAGTCACAAAAAGGGGCATCTTTCCTCCGTTTAACCTACACTGTATCTCTCAGTGTTACGGAGATTTCAATAGTGAGCCACGAATTTGAACACCCTGTACTGATTTTCAAAAATTTATTCGCATAATATGCCAGATTGAGCTCGGTGAACACCTTGTATACCGTATTTGCCCTATAAATACAGGGTGTAACGATATTAAGTATGTCAACAAAAAATGAGAAGGAACTAGAACAAGCATATTTTTTCCAAATGAACCGAAGGGAAACAATGGAGTTAGGCCCTCAGAAGTCGGATGCATTTTTTAGATTTTTTACGCTTCACTAGTCAGCTTCTTCAGAATCCCACGATAGTATCCCATTACTTCCCCCTTACAATGCCCTTATCCATTTATGCACATGATTTTTAAGCACGGCCGATCTTGGGGTATTTGGTATCTCCATAACGGCGCACCCCGCTTAGCAGCGCCCCCTAGGTTTGTTCCATACAGGTTTCTCCTTGTCCATCGCGCGATCCTAACTATGCCCGGGCTTCAAGAATACTAAGCTCGATTTCTCGGTGCAATGCTTCGAACATGATCTTTGTTCGAACTGTCAGTTGTTTTACTTTGACCCTATCAGGCTAGGGCACCACGAGGCTAAATGCGGTCCTGATCACCCCGCCTGACTAGCAATGATGATTGATACAAGTGAAGAATATAGCAAGGCAACAAGGGCGATCACAAGCGCATTTTTGGAAAAAATACACTTTCTATCCCACTCCCTATGGAGAGTACTCCAGAACCTAACGGATAATCGCGCTCGAGACCTAACTATCCTTTACCGCGCCTGGGCTCTCTCTCCACTAACCAGGTCCTACGATCCTGACAGCTATATTTTCAAATAATAGTATGATTCGAAAAATTGAATGTTGCAATTAAGAATAAGATGCGAGTACGTTATTGCCTAACGTGCAGTGGTGTACGGTAAGTTGCCTAACACGCGGCGCACAGTAGTCCATTATTTGCTTTGGATCCGTACGTTGAAAAGCACAATCCCTAATGGTTACCATACATGATCATGTTTCCCGTCAAGTTTACAGAGGGCTTGAAACGGGGTCCAGTAAACTGCATGATAAGCTACTTCCATTTCCATCCATTCCATCCATTTTAAATCGAGCCGTAAGAAAATGATTTTTAATTTTCAGTCTCTCATAATTTTTTAATGCATTTTTTAAGAATTAAAAAAATTGATTTATTCATTGGTTATATCGTGTGCTCCTCATACAGTGTGTCCCAGGTAGAACGCACCATAGGGCGAACGGCAATGTATTTTTTCGCGAAGGATCCACGACGCATTAGAAATTAGCGTTCAGCCAATCTCTTTTTAGCATGAAGCAAGCGCAATAACGTACGTTGAACGCTAACTTCAAATACATATCAAAGGCCTCGTGGATCCTTCGCGAAAAAATACATTAATTCTGTTTTCCTATGGTGCATTCAATATGGGACACCCGGTATATGAAAAAATTAATTGATATTGAGTAAATTGTAACATCGGTGTTTACACGTTTTTATCCCGTGTAGGGGCGGGAAAGAATACCCCTACTGCAGAGGGCACTGCATGTCGTAAGAGGCGACTAATCAAAGGCGGACCGTCTGCCATCAGGACGATTAATAAAGTCATTTCGACGTTATTGTGGTTTTTTACGATTTCTTAGACCCTAGAGCAGGTTTTGTCCGGCCCACTAACATAATTCATAGTTAATACTTCATATCATACGGTCCACTCCACCAAGTTACATTAAAAATTCGAATTAATTAATATGATTAATGATTATTAAAGTCACTAGATATAGAAAGTACCGCAATCATCCGCCATTTTTGGGCAAATTTGCTGCCAACTTAAAAAAATTGACAAATCAAATTTGAATAGCTGCCATTTTTTATAACCTAACTTCATAGTACTGTCATGTTTTATAAAAATATATACAGATATCTCCAAACAGGTGGAACAATCCCTAACATTAAAGTTACTAGAATCTGGTAACTTCCGCCATTTTTGGGCAAAAATCATGCGTTCTCTCTCTACACACGAGCCCAAGGGATTGCGGTACTTTCTATATTTAGTGACTTTAATGATTATGTTACATGTGCGGCATCTAGCGGACGCGATCCGAAGCTTCCAAGACGTCTGAAATCCTCTTTGAAGATGTATTTCTTGTTTCAGAGATATAGACGGGTATTTGCCAGAATTTATTATATGTACAGGGTGGGACAATAAAACGACACGTGTTTTGGGATTAAGTAACAGTTTTAGGCCATATATTGCAACAAATCAATGAAAATTTGGATACAAGCTGAATATATCCATGTCAATTTTTGAAAATAGGTGGGGCGGGGGGGGGGGGTGAACACACGTTCTACCCTTCATGGTACTTTAATGAAAGGTCTCAACGAGAGGAATTAATTTCTACCAACCATAGCCTCCTACGCGACTCCTTATAGTGATCGGATATAAATAATTCCTTTTATCTCAAGAACAGATTGTCGAAGGATGGTATTCACAAAGGGTGATTGGGACGTCTGGAAGAAATATATCTATTGGCGAATATCTCGAAAACGCTTTGTCGGCGGAAAATGTGTTTTATCTGCACAAGAGTTGTGCATAATTTATACTGGTTAAAATAAGATGTTTTACTATTCTAATTTCTAATGGACGTTGTTGTTTTAAGAAAATCGGTACTAAACTTCATTAGGGACTTAAATAGTTATTAATTAGAACTCGACAATTCCCATTTGTCAACGTCGTGCAAAGTAAACACAATTCTTGGAGTAATTCAATATTAATTAGGCCCGTTCGGTTGACTAATTCTAAGCAAGTGCTCTCTTTATACGTTGGCACGTTTAAACTTGACGTTGATATGTTTTTTGTTGACTTTCCGCGCCTTTCCTTTCAAACAGAAATAATTTCCGTGGGTACCGAAACCATTCATTTCGGCCGTAACCTTCCCACATGTTAAAATAATAAAATCTTTCCTATCGGATTGCAAAACACTGGTTGGTGATAAGTCTGTAAGTGTACGTTGATCTTCGATGGTGTCTCGGTTACGAATAACAATTGATAACCGAATTGTACGTTGAACTTCTCACAATGTATAAACGTGCCTATACAAAGGAATTGCAAGAAAAGGCCAAAAGAAAACTTAACGAAACACCGAAGCGCAAAGAAGACGATGTGAACCACATAGTCAATTGGATTTCAAAGCAACCGCATTTCAATGCCCGAACAGGTGAGAAGAAGCGCAACTTATCATTTCCTCATTCAATTTGTAGACGAACTGTGGGTCACAAACTTTTTGCGCGGTTGCAAATTCAGCACGCAGAAGACGAAAGAGAAGTTGAAATATTTGTACAAGACGAGACCACATGCTCCCGAGTATTTCTCAAGGCGCGACCCCTTTCTACCGGAAACACAAGAAATTCTCAACCAAAAGTAAGCCCCGCTCCACCACCCACGTTCTTCATATAGTGTTTTTCTAGCGTATTTCTCCCGTACGCCTCCGCAAACGATGAGTTGATCATCGTGAAATGGGGCAACGTAAATCCTGACAAAGTATCCATAGTTGACGTATTCAGGGTGGCGTTCATGATTTTGGACATCTCCATCGCAGACAGCGACACAATTTTAATCACGGGGATCCACATCGTAATCGACCTGAAAGATATTCCAATCGCTTGCATGAAACAAATGACGCCCGCGTTCCTAAAGAAGCTCGCTTACATAATCTGCAAGGGTTACGCGTTGAGACTCAACGGAATATACTTCATCAACTGCTTCCCCTACTTCCAGACGGTGTTCGGCATTTTCAAGCCGTTCCTCGACAAGAAAATGCTATCGAAGGTTCACCATTGGCGAATTGACGAATTACTTACTCTCAGTTTTAGATGAAGTTCTACAACGAAAACGAGGAGCGACAAATTTTGAATGACATCCCGAAGGCGGCACTTCCGCGGGAGTACGGAGGCAGCGGCGAAAGCATCGTCGAAATCGGACGTAAGTGTTACTACCCCGTCTCTAAACCGATGCTGAGTATTTTCCTCGGCAGCTCGCTGGAAGTCTATTATCGAGAGCTTTAGGGATTGGTTCATCGAGGACCAAAGGTTTAAGTTCGACGGTCCGCTTCAGTTCGGCGGCTGCCTGTTCGACATGGAAGGTTCTTTCAGACAGCTCGAATTAGATTAATTCTCTCGGAGGGTCGCCCGCCAAAAATCCCCACTCCCTTGGGCTATATACTATAGTTAGAATTATATTTATAAATAGGCAAAGTCGCATTAAAATCTAATTAAAGACTACACTCGGAAAAATTAGGTGACTTACCACAAATGACCCTGTTTATGTTCGAAGTGTAAGAAGGTGAGTCAACCTTCTGTGAGTGACCGATAGCCGTTGAGAGGAAAATTTATTAAACAAAACCTTGTGGTATGAGAAATAGTTAAAGGCAGACCTTTTTAATGGAGCACCCTATATAGTGATCAATCAGTATACACTGTGTCCAAGATTAGGATGTCAATCATAGGGATCTCCGAAACCATACGATGGTCTAATTAGGGAAACTGTTTGAGCTCCAGAAGACACTGTCCAGAGATTTTCCATCCAACGTTTCGTTTCGGAGAAATCATAATCAAGTAAAACGGCACACAAAAAAATTGGGAACTGTTGGTTTCAACAGAATGGTGCACCCGCGCACAATGCCTTATCGTGCGAGAATACATATCGGACAAATACAGGGGGTTCAATAACTAACATTAAAAAATGAGGAACTTTTTTTCCATATTTTTATAATTGTCTTTTTAACCTCAAAGATTAGGATAGCATGGTATAAAGTAGTATATTGTCGAACTATAGGCTATTTAATAGTTTTTTATTGTAACAATGCTATTAAGTACGATTTGAAAAATTTGTCAGTTACCTATGGCTCGTCGTCATTTCTTTCTGGATTGTTTTTTTCGTCACCGCAGATTTCAAAAATTATTGAAAATCCGAGCTGGCACGTTCAAATTCCTCAATTGTTAACATTCTCACAAAATTTCTTATGCTTAAGATAAATAATCATAGCGAATATTTCAGAAATCCCGATAGACATCGAGGCGCCATGAAACATTACTCATCGGCGATGAAGAACGAAGGCGGATGTGACGTGATCTCAGGACCGGCGGACGCCGTTTTAAAAGGGGCGACCGCATTTCGTAACATGTAAGCTCTATTTCACCCATATAAATAATTAATAATAAACAATCCGGCAGCGTCGTCCTATCGTGAGACATCCATTACACATTTACAAAATGTACAACTCGGCATGAAACGAATACCTGAAAATGGATTATTCTGAATACGGTTGCGGATATGGAGCTTTCGTTATAGCAAGCAAGTGCTTTTCGGGCATTGCGCCGACGTACTCCATTGGGGGTAAGTACCAAATTCACGAGATTTTTACCCATTATCGTCGTGTATAATACAAAACTCAGAAATTATAGAAATCATTACAAAACTTCTGAAAATTCAACCGGTATTTAATTTAGACGTTCAAAATAGCGGGCTTAGCTTCTCGCGTCGTTTCCATGAGAACAATATTGTTTTCTGTTCTGAATTTCATTTTATATCGAGCTCCGCGTCCCATTTTTAATTTGGCGTTTGAAACATTAAACTTTTATTGGGAACCGCTGATTTTTAGTTTAATGGGGGCTATTGTCCTATTGTTTTAAATGTCGCAGTGGGAATTCCCGCTACTTAAAGACCTAATGAGAAATGTTAAATTATTGGTGAAACGATCTATATCCTCGTTGTTCATTTAGAACAGGATTTATACGCCAGCCCAAATTTAGGAACGTTAGCATAAGGTAACAAGGAAGAATTCAAGTCAAGGATACAATTAATTAAAAACAAAAATAAGGAAAACGCTGCCAAACGCGGAACAATAATCACATTAGGAAACAAACCAGCAAACGATGCAAAACAATCGTAAGCATTCTTGACTAGGTCGACGCATCAACACTTCCTATTTTATTAGAATAGTAGGTTAAGAAACAATTGCGGTGATATAAATAGCGTAGGAGCATAGTAAATAAACATTATCAAATCGTTCTTGATCTGTAGTGCATTCGCAGTTCGGAACTAAGCGGTAATCCCCAGACGAATTTACATTGTGTAAGTGTGCTGGGTGTGCCGTTACTTACCCTAACTGTACACTCGTAGTGAAGAGAAACTTGAATCGATATTTCAACAATATTGTTTTCAGTTCTGAACTTCATTTTATATCGCACTCCGCGTCCCATTTTTAATAATAATTGAATGTACAATGATTCACTTTGTCTACCCTTGTCGTTAAAGTAATCACTTTATCTACCCCTACGATTAAAGAAACACTCATTCGAACCTATAAAATAAAATTCGTTATTTTAAAACCAAATAAGTTTTTAAAAATGTTTTCGCGAGAAACAGTGGATCCTCTCCCCAGGCGGGCGCACAGGAAGCTATATAAAGCGCCCTTGAATACTTGCGAAAATTTTAGAAAGATTTTTGTTTGCTATATAAGCAAATGGAGAGAGTTCCAACTTCGACACGCGTGTTATGTTATAAATTGTAAGTGATAAATATTAATTACTGTTATAAATTACTTGATTTTAATTAAATAAAAGCAAGTAATTAAATTTACGTTAATTTCGTGGAGGGATGTATTTCTTTTCATTTCCGTTTAGGGATGTATCACCTTGGCTTGGGGTGGGAATTGGTCTACTTGTTATGATTGCATAGAAAACTCAATATCAAATGCCCATTTTGGGACATTTAGGAACGTACCTAGCACCCAAATGGAACATTTTGAATTTTTGATTTATTTAGAAAAATTGTTTACTTTTAATTCCCAATATCATTCATTGATTCATTAATGTACAATCAGTGTCAAAAATAATGTACACAGGTGGTAACCCCAAAGGTGACGTTACCTTTTTCAGAAACCGTGTGATTTTGACTGTACATAGCAATTTAAAATACAGCATGACGTTTGAATCCCGTGGCGAGGGTGAGATTTTACCCTGGCCCGTCGTGGACGTCGTATTTTTTTTATTTTACCGACAAGTACCACAACTGGGAGACGTGCCTGTCTCACCCCCGGTACAACAAGACATTTTCCAAGAACCTGTCAACGAGAAATCAATTGTTTTTCTAACCCCCTAACGCGACGGCGGCGGAGGCGATGAATGCTCTTCACTGATATCTTCCATTGTGTACCTTTTCCTAGATCCTCACTGACAATAGTGACCCTCGTCATCGTCGGCCGTCCAAAAACAATATGTTTCGTTGCAGTATTTTTAAAGTCCTGTTCCGTGAAACGGATTGTCGAATATCGAACCGCAACGTCCTCCGCACACGTATTGAATCCTAATCGCGAAAATTAACCACAATAACACTGACCTTCGCGGAAATTGGTCAATGCCAAATGAATTCGTCTGATATTAATATGTAACGTTACACGAATTTATTTACATTCAAGTATTTAACAATATATAGTTCGCGAACGTACCTAGGTAACTTATTTAGAATCAGAACATTTATTTATATCGCGCTATAACTTAAACATCACTACTAACAATAAACATTTTTCGAATATTTCGTTTCCTGTTCCGCGCGACACGATGACGCCATTTTGTTCCAATATATGGGTAAATCCGTCGTCACATTTTTTTTTGGCTCAGATGTCGATGTAAATATGTTGTTGTCGGCTCGATTTGTATCAAATAAAGAAATGTCTGAGAATTTACGAATGGTCGGATTTTAAGAAAGTGAAGAATCTATCGAACCCGTAGAAGAGAAAGAAACTGAAGAAAAATTTCGAGGAGGAATCGGAAGAAATTGTAGAGAATCCTCAAGATCCCGAAGAATGTGAATTGTCGGAAGAACTCAAAAAAACGAAGAAATCGAAGAATCGAACAAATCTTGAAGAATCTCAAAAGAAGAATTCGAAAAAAAACGATAAGATTCGAAAATTGAAGACATTGTCAAATCCGAAGAATTCTAGGAAAGAAACAATCCGAAGAATTTCAAACCATTTGAAGATTCAAAAGAGACGAATTGAAAGAATTTAAAGAAAGATCGGAAAAGTCTTAAAAATCGAAGAATCTGACGAATCTACAGATCTGGAAACTAAAGAAGCTGAGAAATCTCAAACGTAGAATGCGATCGAGCCGAATAACTGAAGAAATTGATGAATTGGACGAATTCAAAGAAATTGGGAATTACGTAGAGCTTTTAATAAAATGGATCTGTGTTTTAATAATTCGAAGAGCGGAATCCAAAAAACATTTTGAAGAATTTGAAAAGAAATTAATTGTTGGAGGCGCATGAAAATTTATGAAAGAAGAGACGGCAAAATTCGGGGAATTTTAAGAATTTAAAAAACCTTGTGAATCTGACAAATTTAAACAATTTCAAGATCGGAAGGTTCGAATAACTGGGGAAATCATGGGGAACCTGAGGAATTTGAAAAATGCAAAAAGTTCTAAGAAATGGGAGAATTTAAAGAATGAAGAATTTGAATAAATTCAAGGAAACCAAAGGGTATGAAGAATTTAAAAAAAAACAGAACAATCCGAAAGATACATCGAATCCAAGTATTCCCTAAAATTTGAAAAATCTCAAAACTTCGGAGCACACGAAGGTAGCGGAAGAATTGAAAAAATCGAGACAAAAGAAAAGTGCCACGAATTCGCATTATTCGAGGCGTATGAAGAGTTAAAAAAGAAGAAATGGTATAGTTACCGAAGAATTTAAACAATTTGAATCGGGGGAATCTGCTAGAATTGATAGAATTGATATAATTTATTTATATGCAACGTTAAAAGCAGCGATTTAATCCGAAGAAAAGAAATATTTTGGAAAATTTGAGTACACCGAAAAATCGGATAAATTCGAAGCAGGAAAGGGTCTAATAATTATCTAAGGGATCTTAGGGAAAATTCGAAGAAATGTGAACAATTTCAAAAGAATGGCGCATCTAAGAACGATTAAAAAATGGACCAATCACGACAATCCTAAATGTTCAAGGAAACGTAAACAAAAGGATTAAAAAAAATTCTTCTTTTCTTTCAATTGGTCCAACGAAATTTACAGTTTGTCAAAAACAGGTACGAATGAAAATTTTCATTTGTTTTATATTAAAAAATTCCACTGGAAAAGTTGAAGGCCCTTTGGCATTTAATTGGGATTCTGTGCATAATTGGGGCCCTAATTAGGGCATACGGTGCTGTGCGCATTTTGAAATGGCAACGGCATCGTACCTACTACCGTTTTGGTACTTCAAAACGACCGCTCGTCATCAAATTACTAGGAAGTAAACGTCAAGGACCTTAATCTAAATCGATACATTTACATGACTTTATTATTGCGACGCAATTTAATTTAATATAGAAAGACGTAAACGACCTACGGGCAACCAGTCAAGTTTTGGCGGGAAAGCATTTCTTTAATCGTCCACAACCTTTTTACTACTCGACGCGTTTTGTCAATATTTAGAGAGAGATGAATATAATGCAGTTGTTCAATTCATCATCGCGACTCGCCCCGTCCTCCTTCCGCCAGCGTCGCGCGTCTATTTCCCTCTCCGTCGCGTTACTACTACCTGCTGCAGTACAGTACTCCGGGAAGGAACGCGACGCGATTGGCCGACCGGTTCAAAACAAACGACGCTACACCCAAACCGAAACTGTTTTAGTTCGGCTTTTAAGCGCGTTAGAAGCGTACGTTTTACGCCTTGCACGTGTGATCGAGGCGTTTTTTTTAATAGATTGACACATTTCCGAGTGAATTACTTAAACGAAGTGGAGAATTTGGTTGGTGATTGTGAGGGATTTTAGTGAAAATTGTGAAAGTGCGTTTCGAGTAGAAGGACGCAGGCAGACAGGCCCGTTGGGAATGAGATGAGCAGTTTTCGTTTGGACGCTTGTTGTTGTTATTGAGTAAGTAGGGAAAATTATTGTCAACTTTTAACCTTCCACATTTTTCCAAAGATAAGTCGATTGACGCACTTTGTTTTTTTTTTAATTCATTCAACTGTTTTTACCACAGCACTCTGGGCGAAATTCGATAAGGTTGGTTCACAACGTTCTTTATTTACAAACGCACGCAGTTCTCGCAGAAATTTGTGCGTGTCGCAAGGGGCGAAAGGGGGGGAGGGTGAGATAAAATAGCTTGCACGAGAGATAGTTAATGAAATTCCACCACGGCCGCATGCAAACTGTTGCCAATTTTCGGTCGCGTGCGTCGCGAACATCTGATGTATCTAAATAAAGGCATTTTGACTCCTCGTGATCGATACTGAGAGTATGACCCGATCACCAGCCAGAACAACGCGTTTTTGCGTTCTTTCTCAAAATATAAACAACGAGGGAACGACTTGATCTTTAGTTTCTTCC